TGACGTGATGCTCCATCTCTCTCAGTGTGTGTGTGTCTCTCTCTCTCTCTCTCTCTCTCATTCACTCTCTCTCTTGCATTCCCCGTCTCTCTCTCTCTCTCTCTCTCTCTCTCACACATACGCACAGACAGATTGGTTCCTTTGAAAGTAAAATCAGAATTCTATTCATGCGAGTGAATGGTGGATTGCGTTCCTCGAGAAGGGAGATCTAATGATGTATAATTACACATAACAGCAACAGCAGCGCCACTGGGCACGAGGAGAGAGAGTATTACACAGGTCGTGAGTCAGGGTCAGCGGGAGAGGGCGGTGGTGGGGGTGTCGGGAGGACGGGGGGTGGGGGAGAGAGAGCGAGATGTGGATAGGGGGTTAGAGAGGGAGTGAGAAAGGAAGGGAGTGAGAGAGAGAGTGAGAGAGATAGACAATGCGAGAGAGTGAGGGAGATGGAGGGAGGGAGAAAGAGAGAGAGCGAGAGAGAGGAAGGGAGAGAGAGAAAGAGGGAGGGGGAGAGGGAGGGAGGAAGGGAGGAAGGGAGGGAGGGAGGGGGAGAGGAGAGAGAGAGAAAGAGAGTAAGGGAGTGAGAGAAGGAGATAGATAGGCAGTGAGAGAGGGGGAGAGAGAGGGGGAGAAAGCCAGGACTCCGGGAGAGAGTCAATCCGACTGATCCGCGGGAGATCTTTAACATCCACCTGAACAGGGCACAGATGGGGAGTGAGATTTAATGGCTCCTCCGGCGTCTCTAACAATAAGGCGCTCTCTCTCTCTCTCTCTCTCTATCTGCAAATGTACTTATGAGCTGCCAAGTTCCTGACTTCATTAAGGTACCAAGTGTTACAATCAATCCTTCACCACTGTTCTCACACCCCAACTGAGACCATCAATCAAGTCCAAGCAAACCTCTCGTCCTCCTCCCCGTCCCCGACCACGCAATGTCCACCGCCCCCCCTCCCCCCCCCCACAAACACACAGTAAGTATATCCTGCAAAGTGCTTTGAGACATTCCGACGTCGAACGGCAATCGATGCGGTTTTATCTGGTTAGTCTCCAGCAGTTACCCCAACACACACTCTGGGGTTCCCCCAAGCCTCGGCTCTTGCCAACCTGCGCCTAATACTCTCCGGAATTAGGTAAGCGGGATGCGGGAGAGAGAAAGAGAAAGAGAGAGAGAGAGAGAAAGAGAGAGAGGGCGCATTCCCAACAATCTATCTGTGGGATTTCCATGTGGAAGCCTGGAATTCTCAGTTTGGTTTGGATGCTCTAAAGCAACGGTGATGGGTTCCTGCACGTGTCAGACACCCGGCTGACCCAACAAAACTGAGACGGCAAAGCATGGTATAAAATTGAGGATTATTATTATCATTCTTATTATAATTTTTGTCCCTCAATTTGTGGGACGCTGCTGTGCGCAATTGGCTGCCGTGTTACGCCCACAAGGTGCACAGTCAATCCACTTTACGGTATATTTTGTGAAGTGCTCTGAGACGCCGCGAAGACGTGATAAGGCGCTGTATCAAGTAATAATATATAATAATCCTTGCATTTGATATAGCGCCTTATCACGTCTTCAAGACGTCTCAAATGCAAGGATTATTATTGTTATAATTATTATTATTGTTACTTCGTTGAATGATTGAACGGCACAGATCAAAGTTGCTGCACAGATGCTCTGGGGCCAAGTGTGAGAGTCAGTCGTCTCTCTATTCGGAGCTTCTCTGCACGCGGCAGAGTGTGGGAGGTGGAGGAGAGACTTATTTTGGAAGTGAATCACTGACAGGTGTCCTGGGCAACCGAGCCAGCGTTACACACTGCTGAGACTCAGCACCAAACTCAGAGACAGATAATAATAATAATAATAATCCTTGCATTTGGTATAGCGCCTTATCACGTCGTTGAGATGTCACAAAGCGTTTCACAGAATATACTGTAAAGCGAATTTATTGTGTGTTTTGTGAATCGCAGCATCTCTTCGTTTCCCTTTCTGTCTCTATACTCTTCTCCCTCTGTCCCTCTCTTTCTCCCCCCCACCCTGCTTTCTCTCCCACCGTCTCTCTCTCTCTGTAATTCTCTCTCTCTCTCTCTGCCTCCCTCCATCTCTCTCACTCCCTCCCTCACACTCTCTCTCCTTCCGTCTCTCCCTCTCTGCCTCTTTCTCTCCGTTACTTTATTCTTCTTCCTCCCTCTCTCTCTTTCTTCATCCCCCTCTTTCTCTCTCTCTCATCTCGGGAGGTAACAGAGGCGAGGAACGAGGTATGGGTGTGGTGGGGTGGGGGGGCTTCACAATATCAGACAGAGTGATATAACCTCAGGGAGAGCGAGCGATTCAGAGGAGAGAATTGATGGCAGGGTCTTTGGGTTGGTTTACGCTGTAAATTTGGAGCGACAAACGAGAGATTGATAGTTCCTTGAGCATCGTTCGTTCAGGCTCAGAGCGAAGCTGGGGTGGTGGGGTGGCGGAAAGAGGTGGGGGGGGGGAAGAGGAGGAGGTGGGGGGGGGCTCTCACCTCAAGGTCACAACCACAGGACAAATGGTCTCTAGTTATGTTCACTCTGTCTCCTCGGCTCAGTAAACGCTTCACAGAGATGTAACCCGTTTAAACTCACCAAATCGGTCTCTAAACTGCAGCTGTGGTAATCACCCCATACACACGCAGCCACAGCCAGGCACACAAACACAAACCCGTGCGTACACACGTGCACACCAACACGTGCGCACACGCACACAAACTCATGCACACGCGCGCACCAACATGCAACCACAGCCACGCACGCACGCATACACGCAACAAGAATAGTAACTCAAACTCTCCCCTTCCTTACCTCTCTGAATCCCCCCCAAATCTACCACTTACTCCACCTACCCACCCCTGCCATCTCTATTTGTCTTCGCGCTCTGTCTAAATCCTCCCTTGTTGAACGCCCTCCTTCTTCCCCCCAACCCGCAACGTCCTACAAACAGTCATGAAGTGAACGGCTGGTATTGTATGAAGGGGTGGAATACACAGTCACTACACTTTACATTAAAATGTGACGCACTCCGCGATATTCCCCTAATGTGACGGGCTCCGTTCGTGCTAAGACGGTTGGCGAGTTTTGCAATATTCCCTCACGCTGTTCATCGCGTCTTTGAGACGTCCCACACACAGTCGTGGATTGAGTGACCGCATTTTTTTTTGAAAAAAGGAGTTATTACCTCCGAAAAAGTGATCCACCAATTGACTAACAACCAGGTTCCTTCTTACTGCTCGGTAACCAGAGGCGTGTGGAGTAAGGAAACTCCCTTGCTTGCGAGCCGAGCGCTCTAACCACTGAACTAATATTTCTCACACTCGACACGGTGGGAAGAAGTCTTAAAGCGTTTCCTGTAACATGTAGTGACTGTGTGTTTTGTGGGCTGCCAGGTCCTACAAACTGCCATGAAGTGAACGACTGGTTTTCTACGAAGGGGGAGGGATGCACAGTCACTACGCTTTACGGTCAAACTGCGTGAAGTGCTTTGAGACTTCCTCCCGCTGCGATAGGGCACTATATCAAGCTTAAGAATCACGATATGAAATTATAGCTTTAACCAATAACTCTCGCTTTCTCTCTTGGGCTCTATCTCTCTCACTCTTGTCTTTCTCTCTCTTTAATTCTCACTCTCTTTAATTCTCACTCTCTTTAATTCTCACTCTCTTGCGCTCTCTCGTTCGAAAGCAGTGGCACAGCATCGGAGCAGAGAGCCTCTTAAGTAAACAGAGGCGAGTTATCCTCCCGCTGCCTCAATTTACAATTTGAGAAATGGAAGCATTTTGCCAAGGACGGACTGTGTGAGTCTTAATCGATTGGCTATAACTCCGTCAGCGCTCGTGTGTAATGCTCACGCGCCCCCCCCCCCCCACACACACGCACACACACACGCACACTCCGCACCTCAAAGCCCTTTCATTCTCCGAAGATCGATCCGGAGAGAGGGAGAGAGATTTACAGACCCGGCAGAAGCAGCAATAAATCTGCCCATCTCTGTGGGTCTATCTGTTGGTGTGATGGTACCACAGTATCATCTGGTGGCCACTGGAGGGTACCACAGGCTTGACCTCACCTTGTGGCAAACACACGTTTTATTTCGAGTTCGATACAGCGAAGGCGGACATCGCAAAGCGCTTCGCAGGATTTTACTGGTCAAGTGCCGGGGCCGTGCGTTTTGTCGGTTTGCCTACCGAGCAGTCAGTCACTACACTTTGACTCACAGTCAAATCCTGTGAAGCCCTTTGGGACGGTTTGGCACGTTTCCTTCGCGCCAATGTGTAAAACCAAAAGCACCTAAAGGAGTAGGCGATGAGAGTTTCGTCCCACACACGATGGTTGGGGTGGTGGGGGGGGGTAAGGGGAGTGGGTGACTGCACTAACAGAGGTGTTGTCACCACTCACTTCAGTGAGATTCACAGTCTCAGCTGTTTGTAACAGCTTTGCAGCTTCCAGGATCCCTTTAGAGCAGAAACCCCAACGCTGGTCACACTCTGGGCCGAAGAGAGGAGAGAGGCCGAGGGTGAAGGAGACCCTTCGGCTCGTTTGATCCTCACGGTCACAGAATCTCCGCAGATACAGAGAGAACAGAGTAAAACGACAACTTCACTTCAACATCGACCGAATCACTAGTTAATAAAGCGGATAAAAGCAAAGAGCTGCTGTGAGACTAAGAGCTCAGGGTTCACAACTCCCACCCCACCACCCCCCCCACCCACACGCCCCCCCCCACCCCCACATGCCTGCCCCGTCCCACACACAGGCTTGCCTCACCGCACGATCACCTCCACACGCGTGAGCCACCTACCTGTATCTCCCATCCAGCATTTCCCCTGCTCTTCTCCAAATGCAAGATTGTTTTGCCCCGCGCACACACGTGTGTGTGTGTGTGTGTGTGTGTGTCAGTGTGTGTACTCTCTCAGCGATGTGTTAAAAATCTCAGATCTCCCCCCACCCAAAAACCCCCCAACCACCCCACCACCGCCCCGAAACAGTACATCAAAATACACAAGACCCAGCGTCACGTTGACGGTGTGCAGGCCCCAGCCCCGGTCTGAACAGAGATGGTGTTCAGCCTCAGGAGATCAGCCTGCGAGTGTGCGCGAGAGCGAGTGTGTGCAAAAGGCAGTGTGCAAGTGTGAGTGTGCGTGAGAGTGTGCGCGAGAGCAAGTGTGCGAGTGTGAGTGTGCGCGAGAGTGAATGTGCGCGAGAGCGAGTGTGCGAGTGTGAGTGTGAGCTAGAGCGAGTGTGTGCGAGAGTGAGTGTGCGCGAGAGTGAGTGTGCGAGTGTGAGTGTGCGCGAGAGTGAGTGTGCGCGAGAGCGAGTCGCTCTGGTGTGCCGAACACGGTGTGCCGTGTATGTGTGGTGTATGTGCCGTGTACGTGCTCTGGGACGTTACCCCGCGCGAGGGGCGCACTATAAATGCAAGCTGTTGTTGTCCGTGTACGTGTCGTGTGGTTTACTGCGTGCCACATGTATGCGCGTATACGTGTGGTGTAAGTGCGGTGCCCGTGCCGTGTGCGTGCGCGGTGTGCATGTGTGTGCGTGTGCATCTGCCGAGTACTCACGGTCGTTGCACTGGCTGCCGCTGTACGAGGTCATGGTACAGTCACACGTGTAGCCCTCCCACTGCTGCATGCAGACACCGTGATTGATGCAGGAATCCTCTTGACATGTGTTGCTCGGCCCTTTGTGGGGGAGGGACAGAGACAGTGGACGGAGTCAGAACCATCACCCCCCCCCCACCCCCCCCCACACGCACACACACACAGCCCCCACCCACACATAGCACCCCCATCCACACACAGCACCCCCACCCACACACAGCAACCCCCCACACACACAGCCCCCCACCCACACACAGCACCCCCATCCACACACAGCACCCCCATCCACACACAGCACCCGCATCCACACACAGCACCCCCACCCACACACAGCACCCCCATCCACACACAGCACCCCCACCCACACACAGCACCCCCACCCACACACAGCACCCCCACCCACACACACAGCACCCCCACCCACACACAGCACCCACATCCACACACAGCACCCCCACCCACACACAGCAACCCCACCCACACACAGCACCCGCACCCACACACAGCACCCTCCCCACAAACACACAGCACCCCCCACACACACAGCACCCCCCCCACACACACACAGCACCCCCACCCACACACAGCACCCCACCCACACACACACACAGCACCCCCACCCACACACAAACACAGCCCCATCCCACACACATAGCCCTCCCCACCCCACATACACAGCCCCAGTACACACACAGCTCCACTCCACATATAGCCCTCCCCCCCCTTCACAGTTCCCCCCCCCCCACACACACAACACCACCCCACACATACGCAGTGTCACCCACTATTAAATCCAGAATGTTTTTTTGGGGGGAGGGGCGGGGGGTCGTTTTATGTTTTCATGAAATGACCCCCCCACCCCCGGGTCTCGTTCTATACGACTGTTGCAAATTAGACCCCCGCCAAGCCCTTCTCCCCCAAAAAACACACTCAAACACGCCTCACACGCACAAACATGTGTGATATACACACAGAGAGAGACTCTGTGATCGGGCGGAGGCGGAAGGAATACCTCAGTCAGGGAGAGAGAGGGATGTGAGGGGGGAGTGTGGCTTAGTTCTGTGCGTGTGGGGGGGGTAGGGGGGTTTGGGTCCGTGTTTGTGCGGGTGGGGGGGGCATAAGGTCTGTGTGACGGGGGGCTTAGGGTCGGTGTGTGTGGGTGGCTTTGGGTCTGTGTGTGTGGTGGGGGGGGCATAGGGTCTGCATGGGGGGGGGCTCAGTGTTAGTGTGTGTGGGGGTGATTTAGGGTATGTGTGGTGGGGGGACGTAGTGTCTGTGTGGGGGAGCTTAGGGTATGTGTAGGGTGGGCTTAGGGTCTGTGTGGTAGGGGGAGGCTCTTAGGGTCTGTGTGCGTGGGGGGGGGCTTAGGGTCTGCGTGGGGGGGGTGCTCAGCGTTTGTGTGTGTGGGGGGGATTTAGGGTCTGTGTGGCGGAGAGGGGTCTCTAAGGGTCTGCGAAGCGCTTTGAGACGTCTGGAAGATGTGAAAAGTGCTATATCAAATGCAAGGATTATTATTATTGTTGTGTGCGGTGGGGGCTCCGGGTATGTGATGTGTGTGGGGAGGGGACGACCGCTAATTATTATTGAGAATAAATCACTGGTCGAGCGTGTCGGGGATACACACACGTGAAAACCGGCGAACACAGAGACAGAGAGTGAAGAGATGGAGAGTGAGAGCCACAGCGAGAGAGACTGACTCTGAGAGTGAGAGAGAGAGAGAAAAAGAGAGACTGACGGTGACTAAATATTTAAAGCATTTCACTCCAAAGCAAAAAAAAAACCCAAACCCTGCAGCGGAGCTGAAAGTGTGTTGTCCTGTGTAATGTGCGTCTGTCGCGCTAAACATTGGCCACTGCTACTCACATCAACACCGTCTCTCCTCTCCCCCCCCCCCCTTTCTCTCTGTCCACCCCTCTGTTCGTCCCCGGACCCCCCCACCCCCACCTCTCTCTGCCCCCCACTCTCTCTCTCTCTCTCTGTCCCCACCCCCACTCTCTACGCTCCCAAACTCCACTCTCACCCCCCCCTCCCTTCTCTCTCGGCCTCTTCCCCCCCCACCCCCTCTCTCTCTCTGTATTATTTACACTATTTTGAGTGCGATTAATAATAACGCCGGTATTAATACGTCAATATTGGTATTAACGTCAGTGCAGTGTTACTGCGTTCCCAGCGGGCTGGGGGGTGGTGTGCGGGGGTTGTGGGGGTGGTGGGGGGGGGGTTGAGAAGCTGATGCGGACAAATTGGCCGCACATTATACAGTAACACTTCCAGCCACTTTCGGGCACACAGCGAGACGCAGGCCTTGTACCTTGCAGGTCTGCTTTGGTCAGTGCAACTTTCGTTAGCAAATAAGAACAGAAGCGAAAATAACAGCAGAGGTTAATAAACTCGTGTTAACGACGCCAGGCAGACTGCCCTACACACACGCACACGCACGCACGTCCACGCACTCGCACGCACGCACACGCTGACACGCACCTGCACACACGCACGCACCCGCACACAAAACACACGCACGCACACAAACTCGCACGCGCCCAAAGAAGGCAGACCGCGCGCACAACGGGAAAACGCAACCCCACACCCGCACAGGCGCCCGGACACGCGGAGCGGCCGGGAGGAGGGCAGGGAGGCTGTCACCGCAGCATCGTGGAGCGGGTTAATCCGGTCGCTCCCGTTAGCCGAGACAGATTGTGGCGACGAGTGCTTCCAAACCAAACCCCCTGCAAGTCCGTGACTTTACACCGCGCCCCCGGGCACACAGGGCAACACCGTCAGCAGTCACCGAGACGGGGGGGGGGGAGGGAGGACGGAGGGAGGGTGGGAGGGGAAGGGAGGGGTGTGGAGGAGTTGGGAGGTGAATAAGTTGAGGGCTCGGGGTGGGGAGGGGGCGTGGGTGGTGGGGATGGAGAGGGAGTGGGAGGAAAGGGAGGGGAAGGAGGGTGGGGAAGAGAGGGTTGAGGGTGGGGGCGCACTTCTGAGCTGCTGTCCTTCAGACGAGACGTTAACCCGAGGTCCCGGGGTGAGGGGTGAAGGGACGTTGTCCTCCCGCTGGCAATCCTCCTGGCTCACGCTGGTCATTCATTTGACAGCTGTTTGTGGTATGTCCATCTGATGGTCCATTTGATCTCTGTCGTACACTCCCCCCCCCCCCACCACCACCACCACCTCCAACCTCCCACCTCCCACCTCCCACCTCCCACCTCGCCGCTCACCTGATCCCGGTCAGTCTCCGCACGCGGTGGCAAATACGTTCCGTAAAATTCTGAAGGCACACGGAGAGACAGAGAGACACACACACACACACAGATAGAGAGATACAGAGACACACACACACACAGACACGGAGAGATACAAAGGCACACACACACATACAGAGAGACACACGCATACACAAATACAGAGAGACACACACAGATAGAGAGACACGCACACACACACAGATAGAGAGAGATACAGAGAGACACACACACAGACACACAGATAAAGACTTACAGAGAGACACACACACGTAGAACAGAGACACACACACATACAGATACAGAGAGGAACACACATACAGATACAGAGAGACACACACACACACACACATACAGAGAGACACACACACAAATACAGAGAGACACACACACACAAATACAGAGAGATACACATAGATAGACACACACACAGACACAGAGAGATACAGAGAGACACAGACATACACAGATACACAGACACACACACAGAGACACACGCAGGTAAGAGAGAGGTAAGTGCTTACTTACCTGACCACATTGCTCACTATTTAACGCTGTGATTGGCTGCTGCCCCCAATCAACAACAACAACAACAACAACAAGATTACATTTGTATAGCACCTTTCACGTCGGGAGGACGTCCCAAGGCGCTGGAATCACAGCGTTTATAGCATTTTATACTCGTTCTAAATAACAATACTCATGTTTCATCCAACGTCCAAACACCTCAAATCGCTTTCCTCTGTGGTGTAGTGACTGTGTATTTTGTCGGCAGCCAATTTGCGAGCGACAGCATCCCACGAACAGCCTCGAGGTGAACGACCAAGTCTATCTGGAGGAGGAGGACGGGGGCGGGGGGGGTACGACGGCCGGGGAACAACGACACTGACGCCCGTCCCAACAGGCACAGGCAGGACCTCGGTTTGTACGTCTCGACCAAAGGACACCCCGACACACAGATGGACAGACATACACTCAGGGCAAATCAGCTTCAGGTCAGGAAACCGAGGGGACGGAGAGGGAGATGGTCTGCTGTCGTTGAGCATTCCGAGTCCCTGGCCCAGGTTGTTGCTGTTGTTGTTGTGGTTCCGGCTCTGGTTTTCCAGTGATCGATCCCGATGTTCCGGCCCCGACTCTAGCCTCCGAGTGAGGAGCCCCTTCCCCGCACCCGCCCCCACCACCACCACCACCACCACCACACACACACTTGCCCGCACCCTCACTGGCCACAGAGCAACTCGCCCCACACAACACAGAGATCCCAGCCGGGAAAAACACACACACTGTCCACACTCACACTGCTCACTCACTGTGCACACACGCTGCGCGCACACACTGTCCACGCTCACTCACTGCTCACTCACTGTGCACACACACTGCGCGCACACACTGTCCACGCTCACTCACTGCTCACTCACTGTGCACACACACTGCGCGCACACACTGTCCACGTTCACTCACTGCTCCCACACTCACTGTGCACACACACTGTCCATGCTCACTCACTGCTCACTTGCTGCTCACTCACTGTGCACACTCACACTGCTCACACTCGCTGCTCACTGTTCACACCCTCCACACTACTCACGCTCACACTGTCGCTCGTACATTCTCACCTACTGACCCACAACGCACAGTGCCCTGCTGCCCGCACATTTTCTCTCCCGCTCTCTGACTGTCCAAAGATGCAAATATACAGCATTCCCCCCGTCAACCCCCACCTCTCTCTCTCTGAGCTGCAGCGGGGAATGGGGAATGGGATGGTTCATGAGCATGGACACAGATGGGGGCGAGGTATGATGGGATGAGGGATAGACACACAGACAGGCTGAGGAGGGGACAGGGAGGTGGCCAACATCTCCGAGACGGTGAAACCAGCGAGATAGCGGGGTCCAACTCTGGTCTTACCTTGGGGAGGGGGTGGGGAGGGGGGTGGGGGGGATGGCAAGGCAGGAGGCGCAGAGAAGAGCTGCCCTGTGCTCTGCTGTATCAAATTATTATTTGTGTATTATTAGGTGCAAATGGATCCAGGGTTCTGCCTCCCCGAGAACCTGGTGTGAGGCCCCAGGAAACGGGAGTGTTGGGTGGGGATAGAGACAATTACGAACCCTCCTCAGGACGGAGGTGGGTGGCCTGAGTGAGTCTGTGTGTTTGTGGGGGGGGGGACGGGGGGACGGCAGGAATAGGTACCAATCAGTTGGGGAGTAGGAGTGAGCTGTTATCAGTGCATTAATTCAGGGGCTATGACCACTGCCTGACTTGAACTGTTAATTTTCCTCCCTTCTCCCACTCCCACCACATCCTTTCCCCCACCCTCTTCTCTTCTCCACCTGGGGGGGGGGGGAATATCTTTAAAACCTTCCTGTTCCGTGCCGGACGTAACAAGACGTCTCCCGGCAGACGACGGATTCCGGAGGGAAGGAATAACATCAAGAAAAGGCGTGGAAATTGCGTTTGGATAAAATAAGTGTATTTACTCATCGACATCGCTACAAAATAATAGTCCAAAAATAAACAACCCGCCCCCCCCCCTCCCCATTCCCCTTCCCCCCCCCTCATTCCCTCGGGGATTACACACAGAAAATAAAAACAAGAGCAGTTTGGCTTTAGTGCTGTATCGCGGGATGGGGCGGGGCGGGCGGGGCGGGGCGGGCGGTTAAAGCCACAGGCCGCCCTGTGGATAGAAGACGGCGACGGTGGCAGACAGCAGGACTGTGAGCCTCAAGGAGGGGAGCAGGCGGAGGAGGAGGTGGGGAGCGTGACCCACCCCGGAGGCGAGGAAGGATTGACTGTCCGAGCTCAAGGCGCTGCGGTTTGTACCTTCACATCCCCGGTCGATCTGTCCGCTCCGGTGCAACGCGTCATGGATCAGGTTGGGCAGTCGGCCGTTCAGGTCCACAGAAGCCAGGCAGCCCTGGAAACCATCCCTGCTGGCCACCAGCTTGGGCAGGTTGTGGTACATGCTCTGTACCAACCCTGCGATGTACAGGTCACCTACAGCCCAGGGACACACACAGAGAGAGCAAACCATCATCAACAACAACAACAACAACTTGCATTTCTATAGCGCCCCCTTACGCACGGCGATAGTCTGACAACGTGGAGAGGAAGGGGGTGGGGGGGTGACTGTAAGCGCGATCAAAAAAGGAAGGTCTTTAGGTGGGATTTGGAAGTGGGGAGGGAAGGAGAGGGCAAGGCGGAGGGATTAAGAGAGAGAGTTCCAGAGTTTTGGGGCATACTAGATGAAGGCACGGCCTCCGATAGTGAAGCGGAGCGCACGAGGGATGAGTGTACAGTAAACGTCGCACAAGTCTGATCTGTACATATCCTGTAATCTCCTAAATCATACATCTATCTGCCTAAGTCCCGTTGTATATTCTACGCAAGTTTGACCCAACTCACGCTTTGCATAAGCCGTTAAATGTACGGTTCCAACTGATTCCACTCTATTCATGACATAAATTTTACATTTGATACAGTCTGCCTCCCAGGATTTAATATAATAATGTCATAATAATAATCCCTGTACGGCACAAATCAAAGTTGCCGCACAGATGTTCCGGGGCCAAGTGTGGGAGACAGTCGTCTCTCTATTCGGAGCTTCGCTGCACGAGGCAGAGTGTGGGAGGTGGAGGAGAGACTGATTTTGGAAATGAATCACTGACAGGTGTCCTGGGCAACCGAGCCAGCGTTACACACTGCTGAGAGTTAGCACCAAACTCAGAGACAGATAATAATAATAATAATATTAATCCTTGCATTTGATATAGCTCCTTATCACGTCTTCGAGACGTCTCAAACGCTTCACAGAACATATTGTAAAGTCGATTGACTGTGTATTTTGTGGGTGAAACATGATAGTCAATTTTTTGGGGAGGGATTACCCCCGGAAAGCGGTCCACCAATTGACCACCTACTTACTGCTGGGTAAACAGAGGGGTGCGGAGTAAGGAAACTTGCTTAAGGATTCGCCCCCTGCCAGGAATCGAACCTGGGTCTTCTCGCTTGCAAGGCGAGTGCGCTAACCAATACTCTACAGGATATAGGAAGGTCTTGAGATGGACTTTGAAAGAGGTGAGGGAGGGCGCCGGAGGACCTCTCGGATGGCGTTCTCGGATGGTGGGGGAACGGAGGGGGTGGTTTGAGGGCCTGGGTGGGGGTGGGGGGGGGGGGAGTGAAATGTGAAACACGACGGTGCCTGCCGAACGGACGGAGCAGCTGGATGGGTGAGGGTGGGGGGCTGAAGAGAGGGGTGTGGGGGTACCTTTAAGGTCGAGGTTCTTGGCCCCGTTGATGACCTTGGTGACAGAGCGAGCGTCCACCTTGAGGGTGTGTGTGTTGCTGTTGTCTCTGGTGATCACCACATTGTGCCACTGGTTGTCGCTCAGGGACTTCTCCGAGTTACCTTTGATCACGTTGGGTCCATTCCCCAGGTCAAACACGTAGTGGATGTACCTGCGGAGAGGAGAGGAGCCACGGCTCACACACCCACACATACACACACATACAGAGTGCGCCGGAGCGCGCGCAAGAGAGAAAGAGCAGGAGCTAGAGTGAGAGAGAGAGAGCAGGAGCCGGGGCGAGAGAGTGTGAGTTGGAGAGGGAAGAGAGAATAAGAGCCAGAGTGGCAAGGAGAGCCAACGTGGAGCGGGAGCTGGAGCGGGAGCTGGATGGGAGCTGGAACTGGAGCTGGATGGGAGCTGGAGCGGGAGCGGGAGATGGAGATGGAGATGGAGCGGGAGCGGGAGATGGAGATGGAGCCGGAATGGGAGCGGGAGCTGGAATGGGAGTGGCAGCTGGAGCTGGAATGGGAGATGGAGCTGGAGCGGGAGCTGGAATGGGAGCTGGAATGGGAGTAGGAGCTGGAATGGGAGCGGGAGCTGGAATGGGAGCGGGAGCTGGAATGGGAGTTGGAATGGGAGCTGGAGGTGGAATGGGAGCTGGAGCTGGAATGGGAGCTGGAATGGGAACTAGAGCGGGAGCTGGAGCAGGAGAGGGAGCTGGAGCGGGAGCTGGAGCGGGAGCTGGAGTTGGAATGCGAGCGGGAGCTGGAATGGGAGCTGGAACGGGAGCTGGACGGGAGGGGGCAGGAGCAGATGGAGCTGGAGGGGAGGGGCTGGAATGGGAGCTGGAACAGGAGCGGGAGCAGGAGCGGAAGCTGGAGCTGGAGCGGGAGCTGGAGCGGGAGCTGGAGCAGGAGCTGGAGGGGGAGCAGGAGCGGGAGCTGGAGCGGGAGCTGGAGGAGCGGAGCGGAGCTGGAGCAGGAGCTGGAGGGGGAGCAGGAGCGGGAGCTGGAGCGGGAGCTGGAGCAGGAGCTGGAGGGGGAGCAGGAGCGGGAGCTGGATCGGGATGGTCTGTACCCTTTGACGAGCTCAACGGCGATGAAGTCGTTGCCGTTGCCGCTGTTGAAGAGGATGAAGCCGTCGGGGGCCGTGGTCTTGAACTGGAAGAAGAGGTGCATGGAGGCGTAGGCCTGCAGCGTGGGCAGCGTCAGGTAACTGCTCCGTGATTTGAAGGTGACCGGGTCGGCGATGATGGACCTCATCCCGAAGCGTGCGTTGATCTCGCAGTAGTCGATGTCGCCGTTCTTACACAGGTCGATGTACAGCTGCCCGTTAAACAGCAGACTCTGCAGGTGTCCGATAAAGCTGGACGGGGCGGCCGAGATGAAGCGCCTCTCGGTCATTATCCCCGTCTCTATGTTGTGGAACTCCAGCCGTGTGTGGTCTCCCAGCATGTGTCCTGTACACACACACACACACATAGACACACACAGAGATACAAACACACACACACACAGACAGAGACACAGACACACACACACATAGACACACACACACACACACACACACAGAGACACAAACACACACACACACAAACACACACACAGACACACAAACACACACACATAGACACACACAGAGATACAAACACACCCACACACAAACAGATACACAGACACACAGACACAAACACACACACACAGACACACAGACAGACACAGACAGACAGAGACACAGACACAGACACACACACAGACACACACACACAGACAGAGACACAAACACACACACACACACACACAGACACACACAGAAACACACACACAGACACAAACACAGAGACACAAACACACACACGCACACACACACACATCCACACACGCACACACACACGCACACACAGAGACATACACACACACAGAGACACACACACAGACACAAAGATAGACACACAGAGAGTCAGACAGACAGAGATAGACACCCATCAGGAACTCTTCACATCGCAACATCTCAAACCTCCTCACAAACAGAATTTGCACTGACTGTGTTTTGTGGGCCATGCGGTAACTGACGTGTAAGGATGATCCAGGTCTTCCACCATCCTGGCAGTCGCTTGGCATGTGGTGTCCCTAACTATACACTCTTTCCCCAGATAGTATTACAGAAATCTATCCAATTTGTTCTTGAAACAAACTAAATTTTCTGCTTCCACCGTCTCCCTAGGGATCCCGTTCCATACGTTCAACTGCTCGCTCACTGAAGTAGTAGTGTCTCCGCAGATTAGTTATAGAATCATAGAATATTACAGCACAGAAGGAGGCCATTCGGCCCATCGTGCCTATGCCGGCTCTTTGGAAGAGCTCCCCAACTAGTCTTTCCCAAATCGTTGCAAATTGTTCCTTTTCAAATACCTTTAACCAACCCTCATCCTCCCTCGCAATTTGAGCCGTGAGACAGGCACTCCGCTCCATTTGGTTAGCTCTCCCCAAATTGGCACATCACCTAAAGTTCCCCCCTGCCCCCGACCTGGGCAAATGGTGGCAATAAAGGGCGAGGGGGTAGGGGAGGGGAGAAAAGGACTGGTACCTTCAGCAATGACCTCGTCCACCATTAGCTTCAGGCTCTTGCCTCTCCTCACCACCCGCACCGTGTGCCACTCGTTGTCGTTCAGCTTCTGCCCGGCGTACAGCGTCTCGGGCCCTTTGCCTGGGAGAGACGTGGGCGAAACAATAGAGAGAAAGAGAGAGACAGAGAGAGAGAGGAGAGAGGTCAGTGGGGAGCCTTAGGTTCATCTCAACCTCAGGCAGGGCTGTAACAATGACTGGGGGGAACTCAATTTCTTCCACTCGAGGTACCCACTCCTTCCTTCCTTCCCCCCCACCCCACCCCGACATCCAAATTTAACACTCGGCCTCTCAGAATCACGTTCGCTCCCCTTTTGTCTCCCCCACAAATTCCTGGGAACACCCCCTCTCCCTCACCGAGCTCACAGAACCCCCTCCCTACGAATGGGCACCTGCCCCATCTGAGAAGATTGTATCTCCCGCTAACTTCAACATTTGTCATCAGACGCTGTTTTTGATGTAAGAGGTTAAAATGCTCCTCACCCTCACGGTCCCCCCTCCACTCCCCCCCTCTCTCTCTTCCCCCATACCTCCTCCCCATCCAAAAATACAGCTTTGTTACAGCCCCGACACTGGTTTCATAAGCACAGTTCCCATTCGGGTGCTAGTTTGCCCAATTTCTTAACGGATTTCTTAATAAGAAATGTGCACTCGTCAGATTTCCCTGCCCGAGGCCCCGAATTCTGCCTGGTCTCAGCCTGCGAGACACTGCTGTTTAAATCAGATGCCGGAGTACGGAAAATTCTTCAATCCGGGCGGGATCCTTAATCAGGATGATTCCGGGAGTTGTTTATCCTTCTAAGGAAACTTCGGGGAAACTCTTCCCCATCAAATCCGGACGTTCTTAATCGAACTTTCCCGTAATCCTGGAGGTTTTACGGCAGAAATTGGATCAGATTCGATCCAAATCAAATCTGATCACGCAATCCAAGACTGCGTGTGGGACGCTGCTGTGGGCAATTGGTTGCCGCGATTTTGCTCATCCACAAAATACAGACACTCCACTACACAGTATGTTCTGTGAAGCTCATTGAGACGGGATAAAGTGTTATTATTCTAGAAATTGTACCGCAGGCTGCGACAGGGTGGTATTTCGGGCCCACAATGCGCTGAGGAATGTGACTGAATGTCAAGTGTGACCTTGTGTCCATCAGCGAGGCAAGCAATTTGGAGATCTGCCGGGTGCACATTTCTGGGCAGGAAATCCACTCTCATGCCTCCATTACCTCCCGCGAAGACTCTGCTAACCCTCTCCTCACCACGCTCCCTCGCTTCACCATCTATCAACCTCAGCTCAGCCCAAACCCTGCTGACGGCATCCTTACTGAGCACTAAACTCCGCACCCCCATCAGTCCTCGCCCACCCTCATCGACTAATCACCTCCCCATCATCTCAACCTCTTACCCCACTGCTCTGCTCATTCTCCAGTTCCCTCCATGCCACCGTCGGTGACTGAACCTTTGGTTACACACCCCACCCTCCCCCCCAGTCGATCTTCAAATCTGTGTCAGCCTCGTTCAGTGGTAGCACTTTCGCCTCTGACTCAGAAGGTTGTGGGTTCAAGCCCCACGTCGGGACTTGGAATCACATAGTCTAAGCTGATGCGCCAGTGCAGCTTGGGGGGTTCGTTGTCTTGTCGGAGGTGCCGTTCTTCAGATGAAACATTAAACCCAGATCCTGTCTGCTTGTTCAGCCGGACGTTAAAGATCCCACGGCACTATTGAAAAGGAGAAGGGAGTTTCTCTCTCCCGGTGTCCTGCCCAACAATCACCCAAAATAAAAACAGGTCACTCTCTGTTGGTGGGACACTGCTGCGTGCAATTGGCTGCCGAGTTTCGCCCACAAAATACATAGTCACTGCACTTTAAATACATTCTGTGAAGTGTTTTGAGACGTCTTGAAGACGTGATAAGGCTCTATGTCAAATGCAACGATTATTATTATTTATGCTGCTTGAGGGGACGCTGTCGTGCGCAAATCGGCTGCTGCATTGGCCCACAACTCACACAATCGCTAGACTTTAGAGTACAAATCCTGCCAAGCACTTTGAGACATCCTCCCGACGTTAAAGGCGTTGTATTAAATGCAAGAATTATTATTATTAGCGAGCAGGGAGGAAAGAGAATTGAAGGCATTGACTGAAGCCCCACATGAGAGGGTTTGTTTTCTCTAAATCAATGATGTAAACGGAATGGGTGATCACAGGGGTTAGAGAGAAACAGCAGTTTACAGAAATATCACTCCCGTTAACAATAAAGCTGGTCACTGCTCTCTTCCTCGCATCCAACTACCCCCCCCCACACACACACCCCTCATCCCACTGAAAAATAAACCAAGCTGCAAATGAACGGGATTAAAAAAAAACCTCAATATAATTTCAACGTCCTCCTGATGCAGTGAAAACAAACTGACGAGATCTCGCTCTCACACTCTCGCTCTTACACTCTCTCACACTCATACACACACTCGCTCACGCACTCTTACTCTCATACTCCCATATCATAGAATCATAGCAACATACAGCACAGAATGTCATTCATCCCATCGCGTCTGTGCCACTCCCCACGCTCTCCCCATAGTCCTGCAAACTTGTCCTCCCCAAATAATTATACCACACACTTCCTCACACTCTCTCACATACAGTATCTCTCACACACTCTCACTCTCATTCACTTTCCCACTCTCATTCTCACACACACTTACTGTCACACTCCCTCACACACCCTCTCACATACACACTTTCACACACACTCACTCACATACATACTCTCTCTCACACTGAATGTGATCAAGATATTCCCGTTAAACCTCTCTCCCTCTCCCTTAGAGCTCACAGTCCAGGCTGATGCCCTGTATAACGGCAATATTCAGAGGCTGCACAAATCCCATCACAGAAAAAGGAGTCCATTCAGCCCCTCGAGCCCGTTCCACCATTCTACGCGAACAAGGCTGATCTGTACCTCAACTCCGATTACCCGCCCTTGCCCCGTATCCCTCAATACCCTGACCTAACAAACATCTATCCACCTCAGTCTTGAAAATGTGAATGGATCTCTTTTGGGGAGAGTTCCAGATTTCCACTACCCTTTGGGTGAAAAACTGCCTCCTGATTTCACTCCTCAATGTCCCGGCTCTAACCTTAAGATGATGCCTCTCCTTGTTATCGATGCCCCCACCAAGGGAAACAGTTTCTCTGTAGCTACCCTATCGGATCCCTTTATTATTTTAAAAACCTCAATCAGATCAGCCCTCAACCATCTGAACTCAGAAAGCCGAGGCCACGGTGCGCAGGGAGCTGCTAGTTATGGGATTCTGGTCACACACACACACACACACACACGGCTGCAGATTCTCACTGTCTCTGGCGATGTCGCTCAGGCAATTTTGAGCATGAAAATACTTTAATGGCATAAAAATGATCGATTTAGCACCGTGACACTCAATTACTGAGTGTAGTGAAAACACTGGGGTATCAGAGCGAGAACAAGGGAAGGGGGTGGGTGGGGGGGGGGGGGGGGGTTGTGGGAGGAGAGGGAAAGCGCAGGGAGAGAGATAAGAGTTAGATGTGAGTGAGGGGGGGAAGAGCGCAAGAGGTGAGAGAGGGGGATGGGAGAGACCGAGGGGAGAGAAAGAGAGAGGAGAGGGAGAGGGAAAGACAGAGGGAGATACGAGAGAGGGGCAAACTGCCCATTGTCACCCATCTTGTTCGATGTATTCATCAACATGGATGGCACTGAGGGGAAAGGACTTGGGATATCTGCTCCACGCCTTATTGACACTTCTGTTTGCGGATGATATCGTGCTGCTGGCGGACTCACCTGGGGACCTTCTGCGCTGCCCCCGCCATCTTGAACACGCAAACAACCGGTGCCACGTGGTAGTGGGCGCCCCCAAGTGCAGAATCCCAAGAGAAGACATTGAGGGAATTGAATGGAAGACACAAGGTGTGTCAGTCCCAATCGGTGATTCATATCAGTACCTTGAAGTCGTGGTGGACACCAGCTTCAGTCCTGAAGGTCCGCGCTGAGAAGGGGCAAAGGGCACTCTGGTCATGCTCATCCCTCTTCAAGGACAGGAAGATCCCAATCAAGATCAAGCTTGTGGCATAGAAGATATAAGCAGCAGAGAGGCTTCCTCCGGTCTATTTGCAAAATGCATGAGCAAGCTGTCAGGTGGATTTGTCACAAACACAGCAAGTGCCTACAAGGAGGGAGGGCTCTGGACTACACTGACCTGACACTGAGCATCCTGGAGGCGGAGATGGTTTCACAGTGGGCACGGCTATTTGCCAAAGGCCCCTCATATGAGGACCTGGATTAAAAAGCTGATGCTGAGTAACAACCACAAATTGCATTTATAAATGGCCTTTCACAGTCAAGGGTTCACACCCAAGCTGGGGGTTGGGATCAGGAAGGGGTGGAGGGCAAGGAGGGTGGTGGGAAGGGATGACTGAAGGCCGAGTCAAAGAGGAAGGTCTTGAGATGTACTTTGAAGAAGGCAAGGAAGGGGGAGAGGCAGAGAGGCTCCAGGCTGAAGTTCTAGAGGGTTGAGGCAGAAAGCCCAACAGTCAATGGTGAGGTGGGGGACATGGACCAGGCCAATACCCAATGAGTGGAGGAAGCTGACCGGTTGTTAGGAGGTCATAGAGATGGGGAGGAGCAAGGCCGTGGAGGGCTTTAAAGTTGACGACGAGGTTCCTGAACTCAATCCTTTGGGGATGAGGAGTCAATGAAGCTTAGTGCGGGAGAGGACACGGGCTGCGGAAGTTTTGAATAATCTGAAACTTGTGGAGGGAAGATTTGGGAAGGCCGGCGAGCAGGGAGTAGGCGTAGTCAAGCCTGGATGTTACAAAAGCGTGGATAAGGGTCTCGATGGCCTGAGGGATAGTGGTAGAGACGGGCAATGTTGCAGAGGTGGGGAAAGGCAGAACAGGTCATGGTATAGATGTGGGGTTTGAAAAACAGTTGAGGGTCAAACAAGACGCCAAGGTTCTGGACTATCTCAGTGAGGTGGATCCATGAACAGTGATGCCATCAGCGCCTGAGGTGAGGAGTCTCTGATGGGAGCCAAGCAGGAAGGCC